TGCTACCTCGCTCGATCGCTCGAATATAGGAAAGAACAGAATGGAAAAATACATGCACAACGTACGAGAGCATAGAAAGGAAAAAGAACCTGGCGATGCTGCTTACCTGTTCACTGCTCTTTTCAACGATATTTTTTTCACACTTTCTCCGCTTTGCAATGACTGTACACGTACATGTATATAAAACTGCGATTGTATATTGCACTCACTCGCGTTATTTATACGTATTCATTTGCAAATATACGTCTATTGTGTATATATATGCAAGTATAGACGAACGTTTGTTTGTTTGTTGTATGTGTATGTATGGTGTGTGCGTGTGCGTGCGCGCGTGCAAGACACTTTATAATGTACCTCGGGCACTTATTATCGTACGCGTCGAAGGAAAGAACAAGAGCAGCAGCGTGTAACATTAGCGGCGACGGGGCGCAAGAGATGTACGTGTTCCTCTTCGTCGTCCGCCTCGTTTTTCCCTTCGTTTTCGCAACGCGAGAAAACTACGCGCGGCGTAATCGCCTCGGCCCGGTCAGCCCGAAGCTCTGGCTGCGTCGTGCTTTCATCCACGTCGTGGTCGGCCCGGACAGAGAGAGAGAGAGAGAGAGAGAGACAGAGAGAAAGAGAGAAAAGGAGGGGGAAAGAGAGAGAGAGAGAAAAAGAGAGGGAGACACGCACGCGGCCGCGCGCGCACACACTCACGCGCCACACGGAGAGTCAGAGTCGCGTCGCGCGTTCCTCCTCTCTTTCACCTCCTCCTCCTCCGTCACAGCAGCCACGGCTACCACCACTACCTCCAACTGCTGCTCTGCGCCCCGTCCTCGTTCTCCTCCTTATCTTCGTCCTCGTCCTCGCCCTCGTCGTCGTCGTCTTCGTCGTCGTCGTCGTCGTCGTCGTCGTCGTCGTCGTCGTCGTTGTTGCCGACGTCGTGTCGTACCGTATCGGCCTGCAGCGATCAGCTTGCGCGCACGTTCACGTACACATTCGCGCGCGCTCTTACGCTCGGTCTCTTGGGCGCGCGCGCGCGCGCGCGCTCTCGTGCTTCTCGTTCTCCTCCCCTCCCGCCGCAACTACCATCGCCACCGCCGCTGCCGCCGCTGCCACCGCCACCGCCGCCCTCCTCTCGCCGTTTGCCGTTTCGCTCCTGCCGTCACCCGCCACCCGCCACCGACACGCTCCAACACTGGACTTGCCTCTTTGCTACCTATATTGTAGCATCGCGGCAGCTAGACAAAGAGGATGCGAGTAAAAGGAGGGACGGGAGCGATACCTAAGCGAACGGGCGGCTAGCCGCACGAGCGAGAGAGAAGATTGTGTATGAGCGCGTGACGCGCAGCTGAAAGACGCGACGCGAGGAAAACATATATACAACAACAACGCCCGGCTATCGAACTGTCGCTTCTTTTCTCCCTTCACGCTCACTCTCTCCCTCTTACGCTCTTTACTTTCCCCGATTCGGCCAGGCTATAGAGTAGCAACGGCGGCGATATTTGGCTAACAGAGCCCCGTTCTAAAGGGCAAACTGTCAGAATACTCTTTTCATCGCGCTTCGTGGCCACATGCACGCACTTACACGCTGACACAAGAGACACCAGGCACCAACGAGTATGCGAGGAGGAGGAGGAGGAGGGGGATGGGGTTATCGTGGAGGGATTGAAGGGCGGTGGCGGTGGTAAGTTAGACAGAGCCACCTCGCGCGCGTGTGCGCGCGTAACATTAAGAACGAGCGGCGATAGTAGGCGAGACACACACGCGCGCACGCCCTAGTAGTAGCACAAAGCGCACGAGGTTGCAACTTACTTTGGCAGCGTGTAGGTTCGGTGCAGTGATAAACCGGCACGTCGGTAGTATCGCTGAAAACGAAGTAAATGGAATCCCAAGTCGAGGCTGGGAGTCGTCGTTGCCGACGCCCTTCTCCACCTCCTTCTCCGCCACCTCCGCCAACACTTTGAAGTCCTCGTCGTCGTCGTCGTCGTCGTCGTCGTCGTCGTCGTCGTCGTCGTCGTCGTCACCGTCGTCGTCGTAGTAGTAGTGTCGTGCTCGTCCTCGTCGGTCTCGTCGTCAGCTATCGTTGTCACCGTCGTCGTTACTGCTACTGCTGTTATTATTATCCTTGTCCTAGTCGTCGTTGTTGTTGTATCGTTGTTGTTATCGCTATCGCAGGGTGGCGATCTTAAGCTCAAGCGGCTCTTCGACCTCTCTCAGCCACCTTCTGTCAGGCTCCCTCTCTGTCACATGGATCCGCAGGAGCGCGGCGTTGCCATATCCTTGATGCCTCGGTCGGTCTCGCTTCCCCTGTCCATGTGCCCCCGTGCGTGCCCGCGAGAGGAGAGAGAGGGAACGCGCAAGAAGAACGGCAATACGTTGGTGCGCGCCAAGCTCTACATAGCGTGCGCGCGCAGCTCTCTCTCGCTCTCGCACGTGGTACTGCACACACGCGCGCACGCAGTCACAGATGGCAGAGGTACACGCACACTAGTCGGGATACCGTCGAGGCGTACGTACGGACACGTCGACCCCCACTTTGCGTCGTTTTCGCGCTCACGCGGTCTTTGCTTCCTCTCTTGCTCGCCCGCGCTCGTCCTAGTGCTCGTGCTCGTGCTCGTGCTCGTGCTCGTGCTCGTGCTCGTGCCCGTGCTCGTACCCTCCTCGCTCTCTCCTACCTTCCTTCGCCGTCTCTTTTTATAAAATTTCGTGCCGCGAACGTAGGAGCGCGCGCGCACCCTTTCTACATTTTCTATTCGGTTCGCTTTAATTTGGTAATTCAACTCGTAAAACGGACCAACGACTTATTTATTATGTACTTCGAATGGCAAATGGTAAACGATTTATGATGTTGCAATCGCTGCGCGGGTGATCGTACCGAGAACTATGCCAAATCCCAGTGAAGTACGGTGCATTTTCTTTTTCATGGCCAATGCACGCAACTCGGGATTAACGTCGTCGTAATTGTCGGCGTCCATCCTCTACTTTCATTATGATTTATTTATTGCTCGAGCAATAAATAGGGGAAATCGAGGGATTATCGTCCCGTAATACGTTGTTACGTATTGTACGGCTCGTTTTTAAGGGAATTTTCATCTTTGCAGGCGATCCTTGAACATTGGATTCTCTTCTCGTTCCCTTCGCCTTCCAACACTCTCCGTCTCTCTCGTTGTTTACGTTCGTGTGGGCGCGCGCGCGCGCCAAAAATACAAACCCAATCTGATGTCCCTATTATACACGCAGTTGTCGCAACTTAGTAGACAGCAGGAAGGGGAAAAATGTTATCCAATAGCATCATCGAATGTTATTGGGGTTGAACATGGAATTGAAAATTGAAAATATTTTTTTTCTTTGCCTGTGTTATCGATTTTTGTTTCAAAAGCTCATTTTTATTCGTTATAATTTGACTATAAACTCCATCCGTTCTTCTTTCGTAGTAGAAGATGAGAAATTCTTGCAATTCCCAATACAAACATTAATTCTCATTGCTTATTCATTCTTTTTCTCAAAACGGATAATCTCGTTAATATTAGGTTTATTACACTTTTCAATATTCTAAATGTAATCAGTGATAATTCACGATAATGGTTATTGAACATTTGTTCGACGAGTATACACGGACTTTAATAACGGACTAACATCGATCGATCGATCGATCATTACTCATAATCATTTTCTACGAAAATCAAGGATCAGACGTTCTCAAACGATTGAACTAATTAAATATAAAATAATAAACGCAGGTTAATACATATGAAATTTTTTTTTTTTTTTTTGGACTGATATTCGAGTTTACACCACTTCAATTGTTGTTTAATCTATTAAAATTAAATAAATAAAACTTGAAACACGTGGGTTATTGATAACTAAAAAATAATACTATACCAATGTTAATATTAATAAATATCAAGTTAATTTAATACACGCTTAATGTGAAAAATACTTTATTCTACATAATTATACAAATATGGATTTTAAAGATGTCCATATATATAATTTATGAAAAATAATCACAATCGCAATAGAATTATCAAACCTCTTTCGAATTATTACTATATGAAATAAGTTACAATCGGTTAAGATTAAATTACAAAAATTTACAACATCGTATAATTTATTCCCTATAATACGTATATTATTTATCTGAAAATGAAAATTAAATATATATTTTATTTAAGTAGCATTATTTTGCTTAGTGATTATTTTAAATTTTTTACACAACTTATTGGGCGTAATAAGTAAAATTCATCTGATTTTTTTTTCTTCCAATTTAACTAATTAATTAAACTAATTTTTTTTTTCAAACGAGACTGGCTATCTAATTTACTACCATGAGTACATTATAAAATGCAAAATTTGTTTTCCCACAACTCCAATGTATTATATAATAATTACTTTTTATTTACTAATCAATGAATAGTAAAGTATTTCCAATAATAATATCATTACTATTATCATAAAAAATAATATTTTCCTTATACGATCGATCCATAATAATTATCGATAAATTTCAGATCTCATTTAGAATATTTAATTTGTGGTACTACTACTACTACTACTACTACTACTACTACTACTACTACTACTACTACTACTACTACAACTATTACTACTACTACTGTAATTTCTAATAACAATAACGAACAATTTCATATTAATAACTAGAAAGTTTACAATATTTTTTAAATTTGCTTTATTGTGCTTCATGACATTTTACTAAAAAATTGCCCTTTCTGTCCTGTCCGTATAAAATTACAAAAATACTAGATTTATCAACAGCTAGGCATCGGAAAATCATCGAGTACGAATAATTTCTTTATCTTTTCATATTAAATAGTTAAAGATAAACTTTATTAAATTAATTTTCGTGGTAAAAAAAACGTGGTAACATAATAATGTATCAAAAAAAAAAAATTTTTGGTGCACTTTCAACCGTTCATTATTTATGTACAATGTAATCCCTAAATTTCAGATATTATTAAATTTACTGATTAACTAAGGGATAAATTAAATATAATTTTCAAAACTTAATATAATCTCATTATCATTCTTTCGTTTTTAATTTTGCTATCTACTCAAATTATTAACGTAGAGATGTTTCATATCAGTTTTAGGCGCATTTTCAAAGAGAGCTGCTCTATTTTGTCCTTCTCCTTTCTTCACCCAATGACCATAAACTCGAAAAGCACATCCATCAATCATCTAGAAAATTTATTAAAATTAATAAAAATTTACGTTTTGCACGTACGTATAACATTGTAAAATCTACCTCGTAAATGTTCAAGGAATACTATTAATCGCGTGTAAATATATATTAAGAGCAAACGATCTTTCAATTTAATTGCAATATTTTGTATGAATAGTAAGATGGTTAAGTATTTTAAATACTTAAGAATGTGAGATGTATCGTTAATAACATTAGTACGAGCAAATTTACAAAGCGGAGCTGTTTATTTTTTGTTTTTAAATTTAATAGAGAGCAAACACTGGTGGCCAATTTGTATTGTGTTTAAATTAAAAAGAAAAAATATTTTCAACATATTAAGAAAGTTAAAGAGAATTTTACTTATCTCCTTTATGGTTAACAATTTATTTCTAATTGTCATTTATTAGTATATTATTTTCAACTTGGTTAGTGCTCAAATGCTTAAATTCACTTTTATCTTGTAGTATTGAAATTATTGTTATCACTTGGTAAAATTATGCTTTTAGAAATACATAATACAACCTACTTTTCTTAAAACCTTGATTCTGTAAGGATCCGTACAAGCTACATTTATTGATAGTGGTTCGGGAGTAGAATGCAGTCTTTTAATTCGAATTACTGCTCTTACGCACAGGATAGCAAGTTGAAAACTCTTTCTAGCGTTAAACGATTTTGCCTTCAGCTCCTATTAATATTAAATTTATATTATTACATTCAAAACACATGTAACACGTGCTTTGTTTGACTTTTAACAAGATTAGATAATAATCATTTACACACGCACACGCACACGCACATATATATATATATATATACATATATATATATACACGATGGCATCTATTCTCTCTTTTTCTTATAAAGAAATTTAAAATGATATGTAATACATAAGTATAATTAGCTCACTAAAAAATAATATACAATTTCAATTAATTATGTTGCTTATAAGATTACGTCGTAAGAAAATTTAGATAAACAAGCTTTAGTGCTTAAAAAAAAAATAAAAAACTTAAATCGATGACAAATGTGCAAAAGATTAACATTAATTTTGAATTAGGTTTCATAATAATCTTGAATAAATTATTTTCTTATTTAATTATCGATAGTGTGGTCTTGAAGAGTTTTGTATTGTCTGTAAGTTAAAACGAATACAAATAAATATTAATAACACTATACACACATAATTAATTGTTTACAGATAAAAGGAGATTAAAAATATTTTGTTAAACCTAGAGAATTAGAATTACTTCATTACAATAAACCTAAAATCAGTTAATTATTAATTATTAGAGTGAATTGATACATTAAAAAGTTACTCGTTAAACATGAATATTGTATAAAAATAATGTTGTTAATAAGGACTTATTAATTTGATTTACCATTTTTCTAAATGTTTGGTTAAAACTTTAAAGAAAAATTTTTAAATTCCATCAAATAAAAAGATCTATTACCAAAGCTAATTGAGATATCCGACTGAGTCGACGTGAATTAGTAGAGAGTGAACGCTTTAAAGGAGCGATATCTTGATCCCACAGCTGTAATGTTAAATAACCCATAATTTAAATTATTCCTTTATAACGTTTGTAATGAAGAATATTCGAAATATGAATTGAAGCATGAAGATAATTAAGATATATAATTTTTTTAATATTGCTAATGATTTGACAATTTATATGAGTATGCGTGAAAGTAGATAAGTGTGTAATATATAAGAAAATATTAATATTTATGATTATTATGATTATCATGATGATGATGACGACGACGATTGTTGTTGTTGTTGTTGTTTTTGTTGTTATTATTATATGACAAGGGATAGATATTATATTAAATTAAACAGTTCATAATAATTTTATAATTTATTTATTGCAAAAGAATCGTTTAGTTCATAGACTTAACATTTTTTTTTTTTTTTTTTTTTTTTTTTTTTTTTTTTTTATCAGTAGGTAGGATTTAGGTTTTAAAAATTTCAATGATTACTTCAAAGTATTTTATAAACGATAGACCGAAAAATAAAATGGAATAAAGCAAAAGTTATGTATTAAACGATTCATATCTCCTTCATTTTAATACAACGTAACGATAAAAAAGAAAGAAAAAAAAACCTCATGCTTGTATAAAAATTTTTAGTATATTTGGATTTTTACGTTTGAAAATTTTTACCAAAAACTCCTCAACCAACTCTAAATGATTTATAAATCAAAGGATAGAGTACTTCTTTGAAAACCCTAATTTCGTAATGCCTACAAGCACTTTTTAATATCGAAATAATAAAAGTAATTAAATTAGAATTCCCATACATAAATTTAAATAAAAACCGACTACTCCATAATTTTTTTTTATTACTGAAACTACAAAATTATTGTACAGCACCTTAACAGCTACAATAAATAAATAATAAATAAGCAAAAGAAAGTTAATTATTATCCAATAAAAGTTTTTATGTAAAAATTTTAGAATAAAATCCTAGAATATAAAATTAACTGTCTTAGTTTATTATTAAGATTATATTAATTACCATTAAGTCGTAATAAATACTTAAGAATATGAAATTTTGTATATCTTACCACTGTATGAAAAAATGAGTGGTCTAAAGCCTCTTTAATAGAAATTCTTTTCGCTGGATCGATAACTAATAATTTGCTAATTAAATCTTTTGGAGCATCTATTAGAAATATTGAAAATAATTTCAGCTTTACAAATTACTCTACTTTAAGCTTCATAATAATCAAAGAATTTAAGTTTATAATTTAAAAATCTTTAACGCACCTATTTAACTAACAATAAATAAGAATTAAAATACTATAATGAATGTTAGAATAAAAGGTTACATTTGTTAAATAAGAATTGTCGCATTAATATAAGATTTCTCCAAACTCTATATTAATAAAAAAAACGGCAAAAAACTAAATTGTTCATTAAATAGATGCCATTATAATTCGTTATTATAAACATGTCAATGTATAATAATGTCTGATAGTACGTACCCGTTATATCTGCCCATTCTGGAGATGTAAACGAATATTTTCCCTCCATTATGTTCCGTAGCATTAACATTTGTTTACGGTGCCAAAAAGGAGGGCAGCCAACTAGCAAAGTGAACATAATTACTCCGCAAGCCCACCTGAAAAGCGACGATAGATGCAATTCCACCTTGTCTAACGCAAATTAATTCCTTTCGATTTACTTACACATCGACTTCGTAGCTATAACCACTTGTATTTTCAAACATATTGCACTTTAAAACTTCGGGCGCTAAGTAACCAGGCGTACCACAAAGGTCTGTAAATAATATCAATTTATAAATAATAAATAAATAACTTTGACAAATCACACTGTCACTTCTTTAAAACAAAACATTATCGATATATCACTTAATATTGTAATGAGACAGTATTTTAAGATATAAATATAGAAAAGCATTATTAATACGAGCAATTATTGATTGACGTATCAATGGTTTTACGAATGAAAATAATGGATATACCAAAAAGCTTCTCGTCCGCTTTCAAAATTTTCGCAAAGCCAAAATCCGTGATTTTTACATTAAGATTATCGTCGAGTAAAATATTTTCTGGTTTCAAGTCCCTATGTACAATTCCTTGATTACGAATATGCTGAACTCCTTCAAAAACTTGTCTCATAATGTAGCGAGTTTTTTTTTCAGAGAGCGTTACAACATTAGTTAAATAATCAAAAAGCTCTCCATTTTTACACAGCTCGAATATCAAAAAGATAAACGTGCTAGATTCAAAAACATCGTGTAGCTCGACTGTTGATAGATAAGATATTTTTATAAGTGACAAAGAACAGTTAGGTAGAGGGATTAAGTTTGAAAGAAGATAAAATGAAATTACTTATGTACGGATGGCCAGCCACCCTACGAAGTATTTGCACTTCCTGCATGGTAGCATCTTTCATAGTATGAGAATCAACGCCGTCATGAGATTCGCAGCTTATATCTATAATTTTTGCCGCATACTCTATACCGGTTTCCTTCTCTATGCATCTTCTTACCGTCGAGGAAATGCCTCTGAAAAATAAAAAAAACAAGACAATGAAATATTTTAAAATAACGGCCTTATAAAATTTGGCAAATTTTTAACAAATACAACTAATTGCAAAAGCTCTCTCTAGGCACAATCGACATTTACTTTAATTCGACCCTTTCTTCTTACCATTTCCTTTTCACAATCCATTCTTTCCTTTTAATACTTATCTCTAACTACGAACAATATATATATCCAATACACGAAGAACAAATGTATTTTTTTTTTATGGATTTGGCTATTAATAATTCGACGGAAGGACGAGGAGGATGGAATGGAAGAAATGAAAGAAAATGAAGTACTCGAAGAAGTTTAATAAACTTACAAATGATTTCGGATGGATTATTCTGATATTGGTGTGTATAGATGGGAAATTAATGCTAGCAAAAGCGAATTGATTCGACAATGAAAGTTCGTGATTGGCAATTGGAATAATTACGGACGCGCTCCTTACGGGACTTACTTATACCTTAATAAAAGACGAGAATGGATCACGACAGAGGAGAGAGAAAAGCTAAAGTGAAACTTTAACGCTCGAGCTTTCCTCTCGAATTATCAGCCATCGTAGGCTAAACTTCAGTCAATAATAATTACATAACCACGAGGTTAGTTAACGCATTTGAGCATCAACATCTTGGCGCGTTTGCCTCCACGTAATTCCCAAATACGCGAATTCGCCAGCAATAATATCGAATGTACGAGGGGGCGATATGGATGTTGGGGAATGGGAGCGCTGGCCGCTGTGTTGGGGGGGGGGGGGGGGGGGGGGGGGGGGGGGGGGGGGAGGAAGGAGGAGAAATATCAATAAGCAAAACTTAAATAAGGTAACGTGACACAAAGAAATAACGTGGATATTTACTTGCCGAGGATCTCTTTGGGCTCGTACTTTGCATAAAAGCCCTTGGCAGCATTTTTGTCAGGCAATAGATCATCGCTCTCGTCCTTCGCCATTTGCGTCTTTGTCATAATAACAATAATAACAATAATAACAATAATAATGATAATAATAACAATGATAACAATGATAATAATAACAATGATAACAATGATAATAATAACAATGATAACAATGATAATAATAACAATGATAACAATAACGAGTACCTGTCGCGAGAAGAAGAGAAGGGAAAGTCGCGCGAAACGCGTTCGAAAGGAGCGAGAGCCGCGCGAGGTTCGCAATTGCTGTTCTCTCAAAACGAAACGAAGGAAAGAAGGGAAAAGAAAAAAGAAGAGAAAAAAAAATAAGGTCGAAGAGGTCACGAGGAATTATCTCGACGAGTTGAAAGCCGCGCCGATGAAACTCTTTTCACAGCGAACGCGCCGAATTCCCGGTCGTAAATAACGCAGCTACGAACAAAGAGAGACAAAGCTTATTGTCAATACAAAATAGCGCGCGCGCCTCCACACCATCGCCCTCGCCTCACCCCGCCAACACGGTTGTCACATGTTTCAAAAATCTCGCACCACTGAAGAAAATAGAGCGCTGCCAACTATTATAATAATTATATCATTAATACTCGTTACACATCTATAAAAAGCCACTGAATCTATATATTTATATACATACAAACGTATCATATCTCTCTCTCTCTCTCTCACTCTCTCTCTCTCTTTACTACTCACTTTTTTACACTCGCGACTGTGTTTCGCTACTTTTTTCTTCCAGTGACTTAATAATTAATTATTAGTCATCGTGTGTTTGATTTTATTTATCTATTTCACTTTCTCTCTCTCTCTCTCTCTCTCTCTCTCTCTCTCTCTCTCTCTCTCTCTCTTAATTATCACAGGACATCACACGCACGGAAAACACCGTTCTCAATAATTAATTCCTTGGGCGATTGTTGTTGGGCAGCAACGTCTACTGCTATGCCCCAGCCTGGCCCTAATAACATTCGACGATAACATTATTATAACGAAGCGCCTGCAATAATAAAAATATAACAGAGTTCGAGGAATTTCAAATGCCTAATCTTCTCACTCGAAACTCCTACAATCCAGAGTCGAGGGAATAAATCTTAAACTATGTCAACGCCAAACAGGAATTCTAGATAGATTGTGCATTCGTTTAAGACATGCGCAATGGATATCTAAGCCTTGCTCTCCTTACAAAATCCTCACAAAATCCATCGTCTAATAATATTAATAGCGCCACGACATCCCGTGGAAGGGGGAAAGTGTGCGCGATATATTTTTTTTTTTTTTTTTATTTTTTTATTTTACATTTTGGCGGATTTTAATAGTATTTGCCCGGAGCTGGACATTCGAATAAGGAAGATGAGAATAAGCGTGCGAAATAAGCAAATCAGGCGAGACGATCGATCGGAAAAACTCGTGAAAATTCCTGCGAGTAAATCTCAGCGAGTAAATTTCTCGGCAATTTGTTAGCTAAATATCATTTAATCCCCCCCCACCCCACCCCCCACCCCACCACCATCCAGACACGCAGTGAACTTTGAATTGAAATTGGAATTGAAAATGAAAATTGAAATTGCCGGTAATCGCCGGTGCGACTGCGCATGACCCGAAAAAAAGAAAAACTGTTGCGTCCTCTAGTGGTTACGATGGGGTAACATTGATTCCCCCCAACCTCCTGACAAATAATTTGTCAATTCGCCCGATAAAACAGAGACCTTTAGCTATTAGCGATGTGTTATGTTATCGTAAGGGTCGATCGAATTTATTCAAACTCGGTCATTATTATTTTCTCATTTATCTTGCGTTTCAGGAACAATAAATCATCGTAGTTTAGAAATAAAGTTAATAAATTGATCAGCATTACCTTTTAGTAATAATATATTTTCATCTTTTTTGGCAAATTCTTTCAAGATTTTAATGAAAGAGCATTTCTATCTATATCGCTCGCAAATACTTTGTTGTTTAGTCCAAAGAAATGGTCCGGACTTTGATGCTCCCCCTCCTCATCAACCCCCTCCGCCGCCCATTCTTTTATTTATTATTATTGTGTTATTATTTTTTCTTGTTATCTTTTTTTGCTCTTCTAAACATTTGCATTTAAACAAATACGAGCTGTAAGAGTGAGAAGTAGCATGACTTAAGGATATATAAAATTGACAAACATGCATTTGAATTAAATTGCTTTAATTGTTATTTGCAAGTAAAATCTTTACGTATGTGCTTATTACGTGCAGTCGCCCGTGAAATGAGTATGTCGTTTTACCAGTAATGAGAGTAAAAGTAATCGGCTAAAAAAAAGTTATTTCCATGTTATAGAGGGTGGGAAAGAAAAAGAAAGAAAGAAATACAATAGTATAAATAATATGTTCTTTTAAAGTATAATCTTCGCGCTTATTGATATGCAATAAAAGAATTACGATTTTTTACATTCCATTTTAATGTGGTGTATTAAGGTTAAACTATGTGGTTTTAATATTTGCTTGTTTCAGTGAAAATTAGGAAGGAAAAGTTTTATTTTTGAATATGTCTTCATGGTTGTTAGCATAACTTTATAGTGATTTATTTTCACTAATACTAAATAGAATATATACCCCATTGATTATTGCAGTACTTTGTAGAAACAAAACAAAGAAAAACAAAGAATAAAACATAAAAAATATGGTATCTACGTTATGCTACATCATTTTGCCAGTTGTTTTTATCGCTGGACTATTGAGAAAATGCAGGGAATACTCTTGGGGAAGATGTAAGAGTAAAAGTAATTTAGAAGGACGTATTTTTATCGTAACTGGCAGTAATTCTGGAGTTGGCAAGGAAACGGTGAAAGAGCTGGCTAAAAGAAAAGCCACCGTTATTTTGGCTTGTAGAAGCTTACAAGCTGCCAAAAACACGGTCCAGGAGATTCGCTGTTACGCACCTGGAGCAGAATTGGTAAAAAAAATCTAACTCAAATTGGCATTTAAATGGAATAGGAATATGCGTGGCATGTCGTTTATTCTTAAAACTCTTGGGATTTTATAGCGACAGAGCTAGTCGATCGCGCATAAATGTGATAATCGTATATAACTTACTTCTCCGCTCGCTGAATATAAAAAACATTTATAATTACAAGCGCTAATTGCACATAGATATGCAAATACATTATAAGAAATATTCTTCCATTAATTTATCCCATATTAAATCAAGTTCTTTTTACATTTAGATTCCCATGGAACTGGATCTTGCTTCGCTCACGTCGGTTAAGCATTTTGCTGCCGAAGTATTAAAAAACTTTTCAGAAATTCATGTGTTAATTAATAATGCAGGCGTTTATGTACCTTTACAAGACAAGGACAAGGACGTAACTAGAGAAGGATTTGAAATACACTTTGGAGTTAATCATTTAGGGCACTTTTTATTAACAAATTTATTATTGGATAGATTGAAGCAGTGCGCGCCCAGCAGGTAAAATATATTTCTTCATAGCAAGCCAACGATATTATAAATAAGAAAGGAGCGTGCGGGGAGTGGCATTTTAATATATACGTTAAATATAATTTTAGAGTGGTTATAGTGACGTCGAAGCTGCTGGAATCGGGTGTCATTGATTTTAATAATTTAAATGGTGAAAAAGGTTTACCGGTTAAAGGCCGCATGAATCCTGGTTATTGTAATTCAAAATTGGCAAACGCTTATTTTGCCAGTGAACTGGCGAGGAGAACTGAAAATAGTGGTGTTTGTGTTTATATGGTTTGCCCAGGATTTGCATACACCGGATTATTCAGACACGTAAAAAGAAGTTGGTTTCATTATATTTTATTTTCACCAGTGGCATTATTATTTTTACGAACCCCCAATCAGGTAGGAATTTCCTTTATATACTTTTACCTAATATTATTGTTTGTTATTATTATTATTATCATCATCATCATCAACATCGTTATCATTATTACAGCTGTGAACAATGCTTTAAATATTTTTAATTATATTACATAGAAAGAATTGTAAAGTAAATATGTGAAAATACAAATTGTAATGTTACACGTACATTAGCAATTGACGCAGCCTGCGATGATTTACAAGGTGATTATCATCAAACGATAATATTAATTGTAATTAATTTGTTTTTAGGGAGCACAGACTGTATTGCATTGCGCCACGGATCCAGCTTTATCCAATGAAAGTGGAAATTTATACTTTGACTGTAAGGTGTATACGTCCAAAAAGAAATTAGATGCTGAAGTGGGTCATAAGCTCTGGGCAGTAAGTTCTAAACTGACAGGCATCGAAGAATCTTCCATATAATTTTTTAATTAAAAGCGATAATATGCTTAGAAGAAGCAAAATAAAAATTATGGGTAGAATTCTATTTATTGACGACTGAATGATAACTTTGAAGTAAAATTTATTAAAATTCAATGTGAGAAAAATATATTATTAAAAAATTAAGCATTTGTGATAGTTACTAGCTACTCCTCAAAGTATATATCCACTCGAATATAAATAATTATTACCAAAATGAACAAAAAAAAAAAGAAAAAGGAATTCAATTGTTGACGTATTTTCGTTTTTTGACATATCCAAGATAGTACAAATATTTTTTTAATGCCGTAAATACTATCAAAACGTACATGTATGAATATGTCGAAAGAAACATTCTCTTGGCAAACAAACTATTAACCATTGATAAGCAATAAATGCCAAAAAAACATTTGTAGAGTCAAATAATCACTTTTAGATGCTAATTTTAGAATGACAGTGCCATTTAGACTAATTATAATAAATAATGAGATACTAAATCGTCATTTTTGCTAATAAGTTTTTGTAATGTAAACGAAATGCTTGTGCTCTTGTTGCGTAATTGTATAGTATTATGTTCGATTGTATTTAATTTCTTAAACTAGAATGTATCAAAGGTTATGCACAATACTTGATAAATTAATATTAGAAATAAATAAAATTACCAAGGATAAATATTCGCCTATAATTGTATTATTATTAATTACAGCTATTAAAGAACATTGATGAAATGTTTTTACAATCCTCTCATAAACACGCATCTGCGGCAATTCATTAATTCATTAATCAATGCCATTGATTAATTTGAGATGGAAATTCAAGTCTTCGACAAATACTCTTACTTAGGATTGATTTTAATAAATAAACGCAAAGCTTTATTGGCGATTAATGTACATAGACGTAATGACAGGCTAATTTTTAATTAAAAAAATAACCTTCTTGATAACTTCAAAGTAATTATTAATATTTTAATTGTATACATTTTTATAAGCGTGGCCTCATCACTTTGAAACTGGTAGTCTTATTCGCTAAGGCTTCGGTTCGTGCGTAAACGCTTTCCGAACTTCGTCTTATAGAATCCATATACTCTGTCGGCGATGTGACGTCATTGGGATTTAACTTATTTTGTACTTCGCGTATGCTTAATGTTAATTCATCTTGCAACTGAAAAAGAAATAAGGATTAGTGATGGTATGAAAGTGAAAGCTCACGATCAATGTATTCTTGGTTTGGAAACTATTTAAATTTAAGTATATTTAAGCGAGAGAGCAAAATTTTGGAGAAAATATTTCAAATTTTATACGGCCTAATTGTAGATCACTCGATGCACCCAAATCCCGAATCAATTCATGCGACACATTTACATAGAATAATACTCGCTATATATAGTTTACACTATTTTAATAATTAAGCGTTTCATTATTAACGTTATACAGTAAAGCCTAATTTTTTCATTCCAATGGCGATCGATAATATTTTCATTATCATATATTTTTTATTTCACTCGAGAGTGCCAACTTGTTTTATTGTTCTCCTATAACTTTACATCCTTTCGTTTGACGTTTAATCATCGTCGACATAAAAAACGCAAATAATAAATAAAAAAAAATTAATTTTCCAAGCTCATTTCAAAGAACATTGATTAATGATAAGTATGATATATCGCTGAGAAGTATATAATATTCTATATATAATTGGTGCTTTATTCTGCCAAAACACAATTGCAAAACTTGCAAATTCATATATTCTACATGAATTTTTCATAATACGTAACTAAAGCCTAATAAATCTTTTATCTTTTGTTCTGCCAATTTGCAAGCACATTGTTTATGCTCTAATGCATGTAGCGACATGATTTGTTAATTGACGGTTGGACCAGACACTGGAAAAATTCACTGAAACTATTGTACTAAATTGTAATAATTCTCAAAGTAAGTTTAACAATGAGTTCCTTTAAATGAAATGTAATTATTCAATAATATAATTATTAAATATAAATTAAGTATAATATAACAAAAGCGCATAAAGAATATTTTTAATAACGAATTTAAATCTGCCAAAGTCTAAATTCATTATTAAAGAAATCGTCGTCAATTCGCTACACTTTTTATTTAAAAATAATAAATATTATCGGTTTGAAATACATCTATTTATTAATTTAAAATCTTTACCAATGAATCACAGACTTGTTCATCTACAAATTCTTTGGCAATTTCTTCAAATCTACCTGTACTTTGCTCATCAAGAGTTTCTTGAGTTCGCCTTTGATATTGCCTGAAAAGATTCTGCCGTCAGACTGGAATAACGAGAAATAAGAAATAAAAGTTATAACGAGGAGCGGGATGGAGGGGGGATAAACAATGAGAATGGAATGTGTAAAATTGTCTACGGGCGTACGCGAAATGATAAATGTGATAAATTGAAGAATCATAAAACTCTCAAAAATACCTTCCTTCCCTATCACATTTCATCGTATCTTCTCTTGACATCAAATTTTCTTGCGAATTTGGTTTTAAACTCGCACTCGTGCTATCACAATCGTTCATTTGTTCCAAGGAATGACTAATATCATCTGCTTTATTGACCCCTGAATTCCGCTCGAGAGTATCATCAAATTCTTCATTCCGAGATCTTTGAGATCTTTGAGATCCTTGAGATCCAACGAGGATTTCATTTTCAATGCTAAGATTTTCATTGGCGCAACAGCCTTTACTATCAGTATTGCGTTTAACGTTCTCTTGACTAGTAAAAACTCCGTCGCAGCATTCGTCATTCTTAATGGAAGAGTTGCCGTTAGAACTGTCTTCTCCGTCTACTATGCTACCGCTTAAAGCCATTTCGCAACTACTTATTGAATTTGAGCTCCGTTGTCTGGTATTCGCAAGATTATCGTTATTATCCGGGCTAACTCTTGGTTTTGATACTGACATTGGCACCATTATTTCAATGTCACTCTCGATCAGTGTTATATTATTAGTTTCAAAATTATTGCAGCTATTTGGAACTCTGCTCGTGGAATCCTGGCTCTTTTGAAAAATAGCCTCGTTCAAAGTCTCGTCGCTGCTTATATTACACACGTTCCTTGGCAGAGTCAAGACTGTATTATCAATCGCGCTTTCTTCGGATTTACAGATTCGTTTGGACTGGTTGTTCAAAAGCCGAGTATTCATCGCAGGTTGATTTAATCCTTGATCGAGGGAGGAGCCAAGCAATGACTTGGTACCTTTAAAGTGACTTATCGACCGAGTAGTTCTGTGAAATTTTTCAAATAGAACTTTGTGTATTGGCGGTGTGAGAGAAATATTGCTTTTATTATTGCCAATGTCTACATCCAACGAGGAGCCAGAAAATGTTCGCTTCGAGCTGTCCAAGCTGCAATTCAAATACATCTGCATTATACAGCGTTGAAAATCCAGAGGAATGAATATTTAGTAACTAAGACATACGTATGACTCTGCTTTACATTAATTAGTCCCGAAAGATTTGGTAATGTAGCGCGCAAATCAGCTGTCGGAAGACCACAATACCATCGCAGCTGCGCTATATTCTTATTTAACAAGTACACCGCATAATGGAATTGTAATTTATCTTTACTTCGAGCGAATAAGGGAAACCTGTGGGAAAGATCTTTCTTGTAACATCAATCACCGATTACACAGATTAAAATTGTAATGGAATTGAATGCAAAACACTTACTGCCGATCAGGATCTGGCAGATTTCCAGTAACGTGATCGATGATCTTACTACGAGAACCATAATGTATAATGGGATATCTAGTGGGTACGTTCAAAATATTGGCAATCATTTGCGTCGTGTGAGCAACAAATCCAAGAGCAACCGCCACTTGCGTATCGTTCGAACCGTCTAATTTTTCACTGTCCGGTAAATGCACATCGTTGATCGTAAACCTATCGTCTTGTTGCTATTCACAATGAAAATTATTACCTCTCGAGGGCATGCTTGGCAAAGAATTAATTATTATTCTAAGATAATTACTTGATTAATAGGATAAATGAAGCTCAGCTCGGTGATAAGCTGCCTCCGGCGGTGAGCAAGGCGTGCGGTTGTTTGAATATATGTTTCTCTAGAATCGATGTGATTCTGTCGCCATTCATACAATCTTTCTATGTCTTTATTAAGTTCTCGATATCGATTCATGAGATTAGATCCTACAACAGAATTAATAAAAATGTCAGAATTTGGCGAATCTTCAAAGCAGAACAGTAGCGCGGACAGTAAAAATATTGAAGGGTTATGTCGCTGGATATTATGGGTTATACCATGATCTTGATTTTCTTCCATTAAGTCAGAATGGCACTGATTTAGCATCCGAATTTCTCCCATCTTCCTTACTCTCTCTTGTTCTAACAGTTTAGTTCTAAACTTAGCTACTTCTAAATCCTTGCGTATCCTGACAATTTCGGCTTTCTTTTCTCTGCTCACTTTTTTCGGTTGAAACAATCTATTCAACGACGACTGTGGATACTTTGGAACTATTAAACTTTCTCCGGATGCTATTCGCTCCCTTAAATTTTGTACGGAATCAATTTGTTGCTTCAGTGCTTGCATTTTACTTCTTAAACTACTGAGTTTATTAACCGTGTAACTGTCTTTAACTTCAAACGAATTAACACCCATGACGAGGAATCTTTTAGAATCAGGATTGGTAACGAGGCAAAAGGGTGGTGCAAAGAAACCACCGTGAAAATGAAAGACCAACGAATTCTCATGGAGAAATGTTTCCAAATTGTTCGATAACTTTGATCCTATGTAAGTCAGTCCTGTAAATGATATGCCCCAAGTAAATTCGGTAATATCCGATGATAGATCTTCTTTAACGGTTCTTTTCCATAGCCTTATAATGATTTCTATACGAAAGAGAAAATCAAATGAAACAAGCATAATGCGACCATATAGAATATTATTTAACCTGTAATTTTATATTGACAGACTCACCGCTTGCATTCGAATGACCTGTACCTTGCAGAGTAGGCACTTCCAGACTCGCCCATCTCGGACTACTATTGTCTATAGGTTCGCTCGTATATAAAGGAGAGGACATACTCGTCCTGTGCATCGTATAATAAAACCAGCATTTCTCTCGCTTATTATTTATTTTTAACTGATATCCAACAATCTGAATCAAATTCCTCAGACGAAGCTAAAGAGATTATTTAAAAGAAAAAAACATAAATTAGAAAGGGCAAATAATTTTTATATTATTTTGATCTTATAAGATTATCCAATCATTAAGATTGGAATTTTTTTAAGACAGACATTAAGAAAGCATAGAAAAAAGTAAATTATACTATTATTCCACGCTTGCGACTGAGTGACTAGAGCATTTGCAGTTTCATGATCGATCGTAGATTGATAAATATTCTAAAGAGCGTCTAATAAAGTTTCCAATAAGTTTGAACATTAACTTTACATCAGTCCGTTAATCATTCATCGGTGTACTTAATATAAAATATGTGAAATATTATTTAAGCCAAGGCGAACCAAGACTGACTCGTTGACCAACGTTGCTTTAATTTTCTTACGATAAAGAATATAGCAAACGTAAACGATTATAAGGCAACACTAGCTGGGACTTCAAACGCTCGGTGAATTACCACAAATTTACATCAATGTAAATTGATGCAAAATAGAGAGAGAGAGAGTGAGAGAGAGAGAGAGAGAGAGAGAGAGAGAGAGAGATATAGAGAGAGAGAGATAGAGAGAGAGAGAGAAGAGTGAGAGATATAATGAGAAGGAAAAGTAACGAAAGGTCAACAAAGGTTCGGTCACCTGTTGTGTAGCAAGAGGTAGCCAACTTTTGTATCTCGGTGCAATGCGAGGCTGCAACGTAAGATCCAACTCCTTAACGCAGCATCGCATCTTCGGCTGCTCCATAGTTGTTTTTACACATTATTCTTTAGTTAGAAATCGAAGGTCGACCGTTCATGAAAATAAAGAAAAGAAAATAAGCGACTCTAAAGTACTTTTAGCTTCGTGAGCCTGCGAATCGCGCAATGTAGATATTGCTCGAATCGAAATTCTCTCAAGGCGGTTTTGCAATAATTCACAACTCGATTCGTAATGTTGTTGAGTTAAATAAAGGACACTGGCTTACATTACAAAACTAATATTATCGCTGTAGACTGGCAACCCAATTTGATTACACTAGTATCAACGTGGCCACATCATTATTATATCGCCTGAAATAAATGCACGAACTCGATAAATCCAACCATCGGGAGCTTAAATTTCTGCATAAAGGATAAATTGACAACTATATTTAACGAAATTAATGGACAAGTTGACAGTTTCTACTGTCTTTCTAATGTTGCTGTTACTCGCCAATGCCACTGAAGCTGCTGCTGCTGCTGCTGCTGCTGCTGCTGCTGCTGCAGAAGACAAGATTTTGCTGGCATGCGAAGGCGGAGAGAGATAGTGATTGGGGAGGGGAGAGAGAATAATACATAAATGGTGGTGACGAGCCGGTGTCGCAAGCCAAGCCAAGTACTTGGATTTAGAGATATGATATTCATCTTCGCTTAAATGCATAAATGCATACTCTCCTTTCCAGATGCATTTACTTGGAAACGATCGATATGGATAATGAAAATATCATGATCGAAGAAATGTGTCGAGGTAAGGCTTCAATTCAAGGTGTTACGAAAGTCGCTGAACAATTAAATTATTAACCAAAGAAATATACTCGATAAAACAATGACACGTGCATTTATCCTTGTATATTCGAACAAAGAATAAAGAATAAAGAAAGTGACGACTTTTGTAAGAGTGTGAGTGGGAGGAGGAAGGGAGAGAGAGAGAGAGAGAGAGAGAGAAAGAGAAAGAGAGAGAGAGAGAGAGAGACTTGATTTTAATATTCATCAAAGATTGCCATTGGTTGGGGTATTAAAAATCGCTTGGAAATTTCATTTCAGATATCGTCTCTGTACTCGCATGTCGGAAATGCTGTTACCAGATAATTATCCACTACATTATTGTATTGTATGTCGAGAAGAAAATGATTGAAAATGATTTTCATAATATGTTTTTATATTAAATAATCTATGGTTAAGGGCGTAACTTACTTAATATATCATGCGTAGATAAACTTGGCGCGCGCGCGCGCGCGCACACACACACACACACACACACACACACGCAACCATTAATCAACCATTAATAATTGTGATACCAAATTTCATGCATCTAATGCGTCCTCAACCCTTTGTAAAGATAAGACGTTTCTTCTTATGGATAGTCATTCTTGATTTTTAATAACGAATAATGTTTTATTTCATAAAATAATTTTATCAAAAATACATTAATTATCATTTGTTCAATATGCATGTTTAAATACATGATTGTATATTGCATACCATACTATTATCCATATACGTAATTACTATTTCGTTACACTTTTAATTTCCTACAATGATAATACAAGCGCAAAATAAATAATATATATTATTAAATATAAGTGCAACGTCTCAATACAACAAACGCAATCAACTAATTACTACATTCGTTGAGTTAGAGTCGGTGGTAGTTGAGACTCAAGTAAATAGTATAAATTATAAAGAATAGACTTTAATGGTTCATTAACTTATAGCAAATGTCAAATTAAGCTTTAATTATTGACTGATAATGTATAATAGATTAAGAAAGAAATTCATAAATCGTATATTATTCATTCGTATCAAGTGAATGATGATAATTTTATAAATCAATGATAAGCTATTATTATTAATGTGAGGGTTGTATTAAATTTAAAAAAATGTTCAACAAAAAAAAACATGTTTCAATATAAATTAATATAATGAATAATAGCATTAATTATTATAGAAATTAAAAATATAATGAAGAAATAGATTTTAATAAATGTAAATATGAAAAATGTATATATATATATATATATATATATATATATTCTTATTCTTATAAAAATGAAACTTCATAATATAAATTGTTATCAAAACACATTGGAATTCATAAAATTTATACATAATGATCAAATATAAAGTAGTTAATTATATAGCGTACGCTAAATAAATATTTTTAAATATAATTTCTAATTGTTAACGTGTGCTATGTACAGATGCGACAATATAAAATAAATTATAACACGAGCAATTACTTTTGGTTTTTAAATAAATATTTAAAAAATACGCGAGTTTTATTTTTCTTATTCAAGTTCGTTTTGTTTTTATTTTTGTTATTGTTTTTTGTTTTTTGTTTTTCACTCACTTAATCAATACGAATTAATATTCCTTTGTAATTGATATTTATATAATGCCAAGTTTGTTTTATTCATTCTACTAGAACGACTATATGCCGATAAATGAAATGACTATGTAAAACTTAATTTATCAAAAAATAAAACATATATTATTAAAAAAATAAGTGAAAAAATTATTTAAATAATACGTAGTCTCGTATGATAATTACGTCATGATAATCTGCAATTTAAATTTTATGGTTTTTGCTTCGCTATCGTTTATCGCATAGAATTCATAAAGTTGGTTTAGTTAAAAAAAGTAATAATTTTTGCAGAAATCCAAATGATTAATTACAATTTAAAAAAAAAAAAATTATATTGCCGAAAGCGTGCACACAATAATGATATACTATTAGTTGTAATTTATTTCTTATTTATATTCGTCTTGTATCATTCTCAAAGACATTTCTCAAAGGAGAGCATTCGATCACGGTCTTATCGTACAACTGATTACACAATACTGTTATTTGATCCATCTATCTTTATCTGAATTAATAGGTTTTCAATTATAAACGTTAAAGTTGATGCACGTCAGAAGCCAGGTAATACATGTAAACTCGCTTCCACTATTGACAACTCCGTCGAACATTATTAGAATAACGTAATTGTACCTGCTGGGTGAATAATTAGATTGAGATGCACGTGTTTGAGCGATATACTACATGTAGTACTCGAGCCATGTTAATTAAATTATTTAATAATTATTAAATAAACTTACTTACTAACGAAGTGTGCTGCCGTACTTATACGTAAATGATTGTAAGGTTTTTTTTTATTTTTTAATTTAATATTTGTACAATATTATCCCTGTTAAAGATCAATTTTTTTTTTATCGTAATTAAACAATTACAAATGTAAAAGTTAAAGCAGAGTGCTAAAAACGAGGTCGTAAAGATGAACTTGAAATACGCGATTGCAAAATTAAACATGAAACGTTAATGTGAAAATGTTTGCTTCTTTAAGCCGGTATAACGTAATGTTGACCTTCAGTCCATAATTTGACATGCTGACGGTACACCACACTGGATTACTTTAACTTTAAACAATTGTCTAATGTATAAAACAAAAGCACATAAATGCATATTATTATTATTATTATTATTATTATACGTGTTATATTCCGTGATCAGCTATTTAATTATTTTATAGAATAGTAATTGTGAAATAATTTTTATTGGAGATACGCCTCTTTGGTTTTTTTTTTTTTTTTTTTTATATATCATACAACAGTGTAGTTACTTTTAAACAATCAAAGTATTTATTTCTGCAATTGTGTAGAATTTTTAAAAATATAATTTAATCGGTGTGCTTAACATATTTGCCGTTAGCCCGTTAGATTATAAAAAGCCATGAGACATTATCAATTATATAAAAATTCATTGGCATTTGGCAGTTTTCTATGCTTAATTCAAAATAATTGTCAGCAAAAGTTTCCAAAAACTATGATTAGTAATGAATCGACGAATCGTGTCGTATTAGTTTATTGATACAAGCTACTAAAAAATAGTAGTTTTCTTCTGCTAAATAAACTCAATTCATTGCTCAAAAAATCTAAAGAAAACAAAAAAACGATTGCAAAGACAACGCTTTAAGAATACATTCGTAATTGACGTAACTATTAATTTTAATATATTAAATATTGTCTATTCCATATTTATATTTACGGTTTAAAGTAAAATGGTCGTTGTTAAAACGTTGCCATCTGTTATTAAAATTATAATAAACCATTACCCGTCATCAATCGTTTCTATTTCACGTTATAACGTTAGGACGCACCAATGCATATATAGTTTCATTAGCTAAATTATGCTGTTAATGTAGTTTAAGGGAAACCATCGATTAATTATTGATTATATTTTGAGATTCGTCAACCCTATAAAAAAATATAGAACTTTACAAAATATTTGAGAGGTCAAAAGGGAAGTGTAGGCGGTATTAAGTAAACAGCACAAATATTAGAGAATCGCACAATTAATTAGATGGCAGATGACGATTGGCCAATTAATAATAACCAAATTATGATTCTGTTGCCTGTAAACCATCTAATAATTAATTCATCTGATAATAAGAACGGATTTTTAAATTTATTTTCATTTCTTTATCAGCAATTTCAAATTAATTTTAAAGACATTCGAAATATAAAATCATCACCAATCCATCAATAATATTTCTCTTATAACAGATAATTCATATATTTATTTAGTTCAAAGATTATTGTTATGCAATATAGGTAGGTGGTAACCAATACTTTTAAGATATAACAAATATTAATAGATTTTGAAATATTGCTGAATTTTGTTCTACTGTGTGGTTTATCAAATGACATTTAAGTACTCTTTGTCTCCCCTAGTCGTTTAAAATCGGCAGTATCGTCAATGAAATTTATAAATTTACAAATATAAAAATAATTTAAAGCGAACGATCGTGCAATCATTATTAATTAATCTCCTAACTCGAGATTTTTCAATGAAATTTCATCATAATAAGGCAAATTATAATTATGAAGTATTAAAAGTCATGTCGGAATGTTTCATTTGCTGATTTCGGTAATCCGAGAATGTGGTACTTTATGCTAACTACGGCTCCACTGTATTATCGTAACTACTGTTAGCATTATTATATAAATAACGATCCTATCATTCTTCCAACTATCGATTAAACCACTCAGCCACATCTATAATAATAATAATAATAATAATAATAATAATAATAATAATAATAATAATAATAATAATAATAATAATAATAGTAATAATAATAATAATAGTAATATTGATTATGATGATTATGATGATTATTATGATGATGATGATGATGATGATGATGATGATGATGATGATGATGACGATGACGACGATGATGACGACACCGACGACGACGACGACGACGACGACGACGACGACGATCTTTAATATAAGTTGTATTCTTCAATACAGAATGGCCAAGTTCTTCTTCATTTTCTTTCTAAATCAACGATAATAAGAATAATATATTGAAAAAAGATCAATAATGTTCAGAAACAATACGAGATATCCAATATATATTCGAAACATTAAAAATTTGTATTATTTTATAGGATTTATATAAAATTTTTATCGTTCACTAAAATTTAAACCAAATTGAATCTACTGAATTATCGCTAATCTAGTAAAATTTTAGATATTTTTTCTATATTTATTCTAACGAGTGCGTGCACAATTACGGGAGAAATAAAACCGAGAGGGCGATAAAATTTCTCATTCCTTTATTTATTTAACACTCCGTTTAATAATTGAAATGTAACAAAGTAATGACTTTATACAAACATAAATCATCGCAATAAGTCGAAATAAGGTTATTTAATTTTTAGTTTAACGAACTCTCTTTCATCCTAAAAGCTATTAAGATTAAAAGTGAAAATTGATAAGTCTTGCATCAAAATGCTGTCAAATTTATATTAAAGAGCATAGCACATTGATCGAATCCATTGCGTTTAGTATCGTTTAACTTTAATAAGAAACGTTTTTTTGGTTAAATCGTTAAAATTTGTACTGAATTTGATATTTTTTATCGATAGAAACTTCCGATAGTATAAAGATTGTACAATATCAGATAATATTTAGGACATATGAAGATGAAAATTTATTCACTTATTTTTAAGACTATCGATAAGAATAATAGATACTTGCAACCTACGTATTCCCATTAGAGAGAGAGAGAGAGAGAGAGAGAGAGAGAGAGAGAGAGAGAGAGAGAAGAACAAGAAGAAGAAATGTTTCGAAATGTCTTTGAAATTTAAATTAAACACTGGACAAATATTAAATTCAATCTATCAACTCAGAGTTCTAACGTCAATTTTTTTTATTCTATATCTATTATCTACCTTTACAACGAAACACGCGCGCACATACCCCCCTGTCCCTCCTACTACCACCGCCACCATCGCCACCACCACCACCACCACCACCACCACCACCACCACCACCACCACCACATGAAAAATAGATAAAACAACGAAGAATTTTTCCAAATTCAATGATTCATTCAATGTCTATTATTACAGATATAGATTGACTAAAAATATCGAACGTTTGCTTAATTATAATTATTTTCTTCCGATTATCGTAACTGGAGTTACCTGCTTGAACACTGCGCTCAACAACCAATGGCCTAAATCAAACGCACGATCCAGCACTTTCCATCAATTGTAATTATAATTATTATTAATGGTGGCGTGTCGTTATAACTTTATTATTTGCAACCAAATTGTCACTCGTTTGCGACTTTGAGCGCGAATTAGAGAATCGGCCTTGTGCCAATGCGCACCCGCCGTCGGCAAATATTCACCGCACAATGACTTACTTTTACATTTGTCCATTAATCCCAGAGTTTTCGCCGTTTTTGCCCAACACCCCCTCCCTAACCCCCTTGCCGATCGCAATGTCACGTTTCACGCCGATTTTGTCGTCTCGCACCTCTCTCTTTCACTCGTTATACGCTGCTTAGCCGACATTTTCGTCGTGCGACGCCTTTATTATCATCGTCTCGCATTATCAGCAAAGATTCTCTCAAAATAGCTCCTCTCTATTTTCCCATTCCCAAGCTCGATTCGTTGCCTCCGTTACGCTTTATCGGCCAACGTAAACGTACGAAGGGACGTGGCCACTTCGCTAATCATCAGGACTTTTAAGTTTGCCAAGTCGTGATGCGCATACATAATAGCATTGGATTATCCATTGTTATCGCATCGCGCACGACGACGAGGCGTCCGTGCACGTTCGCACACACCTATACAATATAAAGCCAAAAAGATAACGATCGAGCGGCATATTACAAAGTACAGCGGCCCACTGTGATTGCATTAGAATTAGCAACGAGTGCTTTTTGGTAAAATTTTATGGGTCGATTATGCGAATCCAAGCCCAATAATAAATAGATGGTAAAGGCAGCTTGTAATAAAGTACGGTTGTCGTAAGAATTTGTTGTCGTTATTATTGACGCAAAGGAGGCGGCAAAGGATCGTCGCACGTGCATTATTCACGTAAAAAGCCAGGCGGCAACGCATCGGGCATTGGGCTGGAGAAGGTGGAGGAAGAAGCGTGGCGCTAGAGTGCGGGCCGACGGTCCCCGCCGTGTGGAATTGGTGGAAACGCGCGAGAGTAGCCTCCAGTGTGCTGCCCCCCGTTCCCGGATTCGGGAGGACGCCGAGACGGTCGACGACGCTTGTGGCTTCGAATAGAGTAGTAGTGCACCCTTGGAGCCTCCGCGTTATTGCACACGAGGTAGGAAACGAGCAGCAGCAGGCGACGCGTTGACTCGATTGGAAGGGGGTGGGGGTTAAAGAGAGAGAGAGAGAGAGAGAGAGAGAGAGAGAGAGAGAGAGAGATCTTCGTAAAAAACGAGAAGCGAGGAGAGTAGGCGCATGAAAGAGGAGCGCTCTTATCATGATTTGTTTAATATGCAATTAATTGTTGAGCTCGGAGGCCGAGAAAACGGTACTGGGACTGAGCGGCGTCGCTGGCCGGCCGGTGAGGTCGAGACGATCGGGAATTATCATGGTGACGGACGTCGAGGTGAGGAGGGTAAGAGCGAAAAGCGAGATGCGTGAAGATGCGCGAGGAGCGTCGAACGAAGGTAACGAGCGCGACTAGTTTCGGCCGAGAACTGGAATTATCGGCCGTCGGGTGGTGGCGCGTCGTCGTTCGTCGTCATCTGGAAAGCCAGTCGAAAGGTCGTCGAGTCCCGTAAGGTGCACTAGATATTGGAAACGAGTGGAGAGAGAGAGAGAGAGAGAGAGAGAGAGGGGGGGGGGGGGGGGGAGGTGTCGGCGATGTAGTTAGGGGGCGGAAGGGGAGCGGGATGTTGGAATTGGGGAATTGGATGCGCGGGAGCGTCGCTTAGCCGGTGCGAGTAACGGTAGATATGATTGGAAAGTAGCGGAGTTTCCCGGCCCGAGGTCCTCGCCTTGCTTGTCCCGCGTGTATCGACCGAGCAGCAAAATTTCACGACCATAGGTGTTAAATGCACGGATAATGTGCCCGCTGGCGATAGCTGCAGCTGGACATTGTTGGATGTTGGCGGACGTTGGCGTTGGTAGCGTTGGTGGTGGCGAAGCTGGTGTTGGTGTTTACGGTCGCGGCGGTGGCGCCTGCGACGGCCGTGGCGGTGGCGATGGTAGTGGTGTTGCGTACACGACGTTCCACATAGAAAACCGTAGCGTTTTATAGCGTACCGTAAATAAAGAGATGTATAGAGTAAGCGTATGTTAAGATACGATGAGGGACGCGGTAAAAGTAGTTGGCTAGTGGCGCATTCAATGAAATAGAATGGAGGGGAAAAAATGATGCTAATGGTAAACTATGCAGCCATGTAGTATAATGTATTATGACGTAGCAAGGCAAGGCAAGGCAAGGCAAGGCAAGGCAAGGCAAGGCAAGGCAAGGCAAGGCAAGGCAAGGCAAGGCAAGGCAAGGCAAGGCAAGGCAAGGCAAGGCAAGGCAAGGCAAGGCAAGGCAAGGCAAGGCAAGGCAAGGCAAGGCAAGGCAAGGCAAGGCAAGGCAAGGCAAGGCAAGGCAAGGCAAGGCAAGGCAAGGCAAGGCAAGGCAAGGTAACGTGACGGAGCGTGGCAGTGGTGTGAGGTGAGGAGGGAGGCCGGACGAGCTCGGACCCGCGCCATATTAATCGGCTAATTGAGCTGGCTGACTGACGTTCGGGGGAGGAGGATTGGATGGACCCGGAGGCAGCGTATGTCGCGCCTCCATCGCTCGCTCACGATCGTCATCTGGAGCCGCAGCGCGGTAGGCGGCGTCGGCGTTCGGCCCAGTTAACGCCCGTGGCCATTTTGCTGTCCGTTGATAAGTCCGCGAGGAAAGGAAAAGTAGCGATCGCGTACCGACGGTGGGACTCGACAGCGGCCCTCAACGGCGCAACTTGACCCGCGCCCCGGACTTGCCGCCGAGTGGCTGGACCGCCGGATCGCCGGGTAGTAGCTGGATCGCTGGACTCCGCATGGCAGTCCCTCGACGTTACTGCTTTCGTCGCGGACGCTCGCCAGGTTAAGATCGTCGAGAACTTTGAGCGCGCGCGCGCGCGTTAGCTCGCCACCCTTCTCCCCTCCCTCCCCCAATACCCCTCGTCCTAGTCCCACTTGCACCTTGGCGTGTCGTCTCCGTTTAACGGCCGAGGCCGCCGAGGATCGAGCGATCTTTACCCTCGCTACATCGCGGTGGCAAAACACCTTCGGGGCCTGACACCCCCGCGTCACCAACCCCTCCTTCGCATCGCTGTCGCCGCCTCGACATATCGTTGTAAACAAAGCAACACCAGCGGGGACCCGCGAGCCTCGATGCACAACGGCTCAGCGATAAATTGGGGACGAGCAGAGACTGCCGCTTATCGCGTCGTAAGCCGCCGTAATTCCTCGTGCCAAAGCTCAGCGATAAGTAACGCGTGGCGCGTGGGTTTGCGCGACGTTACCTCCGGTGGTTGGACCATCGGCAGATGAGTCGCTTGTCGATGGTTGGGTTATGTGGAGCTTTGTTGTCGTAGCGCTTGGGGCGAGGATTGCCGCAGGTTTTTCGTAGTCACGGTGTAATAACGATGGGCATGGCGTTAATGCGAGGAGGTCCGCTGTTATCGGGATATTAGCGGGGCTTGCGGCGATCGTTTATGAAGACCCGAGGGAAGGGTGAATCGCGCGACCAGAGGGTGACGGGCGACCGTGGGTGGTATCTCGCATTGGATGTTGTTTGACTCTGCGTTACTTTTTGTTGGCAGATGCCTGGAGTTTTAGTGCCACTGACACGAACGACACGATGATGAAAGTCATTTAGAGAGTAGCGAAGCTGGATGGTTCTTTGGAATGAACTGAGGTAATCCAGAACGAGAGAGAGAGAGAGAGAGAGAGAGAGTGAAAGAGAGACTGAGAGAGGAAAATGGAGGATAGCGCAAATGTAACAAAGATGTTGGAAGAAGTGGTCGATGGACAAGAGATTATTTTGGAGCAGGAGGAGGAGGAGGAAGAGGAGGAGGAGGAGGAGGAGGAGGAGGAGGAGGAGGAGGAGGTGGATCAGGAGTGCGAAGATGGTGAGATAGAGGAGATCGTAGAAATTATCGAAGAGATAGAGGAGATCGACGATGGGACGGATGATGTAGAAGAGATCGAGGATATAGAACATGTAGAGGAAGAGGAGGAGGAGGAGATCCAAGAGGTTCAGGAGCTTCAGGTGGTTCAGGAGATTCAGGAGGTTCAGGAGGTTCAGGAGGTTCAGGAGGTTCAGGAGGTGCAGGAGGTTCAGGAGGTGCAGGAAGTTCAAGAGGTTCAGGAGGTCGAGGAGGAGCATTTTTTGCAAAAGACTAATGGCTTGTACGTGCCTCAAGAAAGTAGCTGTGACTCTAAGGAAAAGGTTAAGTATCGGAGTGGTGTATTTCGAGTTTTAATTAGAGTGGAAAGTTCTAATCCATTATTGATCGTGCGTTTTGTCGGTAAGGTAACGCCAGGAGTGCAGTTTTCAGTTTGTGTTTTGTGGGATGGTTTTGTCGAGAGTGTAGCGTGCCAGAGAATGATTTTAAAATAGCTAAAGACGGTTGTCGGACATTAAAGTTGAACGAGCTTCGTTGAAGCACTGTTAGAAACAAATGCAAATAAAATTTTAAATTGAGATAAAGTAATAGGTTGTTGTCTCCATCTGTAAGATATTGTGATCCCCAAGGGCTTTCGTAATGCTTAGAGAAAATTAATTTGGTATTTTAAAGAAAATAATATAATTTGCAAATGTAAGATAAGTCTATTGGGTTAGGGTTCAGGGATAAAATCCTAAAGTAATAGATTCGTTTGGCACGGTAAGTGAATCCGAAATTTAATTACTGCTTTAAACAAAGGTAAAAGTTTGGTAAAGATTAATTTTTTTTGTTTAATATTATTTCAACGGTAAATTTAAGGACATCTATTATGTGAACATTACAAGCCATTTGAGCAGTGCATAATTTCATTGTCTTTATAATATCATAATAAATATTAATATTATATTTATACATAAATTTAATGCTAAAACATAAGAGATCCAATGATCTTAAACGAAAATAATTGAAATAAAACAAAGTTCTACCTTTTCTATGCTGTTATTTTAATAGAGGAATGAAGCAAAATTCTAATTGAAATTTGAAAGAAGCGTTTGTTGCTTTTGGAAAAGTCAGGAGTAAACTATATTCAACGATAGGAAAGTAAATGTTAAAATTATTATTGAAAATAAAAATTATTTCCAGCAAATTGTATATATCAGCAACCAGAAACCTACCGTTAATCAAGAAAAACCCACCGGTCATATTCGTTACGATGCATCAGCCGATTGGGAAGACGAGGAATACGACCAAGAACAGAATTCTATAGAACCCGTGGAAGATGCAGTGGCAAATTCTGGTGAAATGAATACTTACGCTGCATATAGTAACGGAGTGAATACGGAAATAATAAATGTAAACGAAAGAACAGAAATTTCTAGGACACAGCTAAATTATGAACATAGTGTAAATCAAGATAATAGTGTAGATGAAGATAACAATCAG